CTTACAATCCCCTAAACCATTTAGCAAGTCAGTTAGAGTCCAACGGAGTACACAATTTTGATCAATCAATCGACCGATCAGGCAATTTGTCGTCTTCACCTCTCATCTATTTCTAATGGGATGGGTGATTAACTTCATCCATGACCTACGGCGCTTCTCTGAGGCTGCAAAAAGATGGAGATCAACCGATTAGACTTTAATTGAAGAGTTGTCTGAGGGTAGGGAGAAGTCATTGGAAACGTCCTTTGGGTTCTAATATGCAATTGGTTTGTTTGCCTTCTGCCTACTATTAAAGCCAGTTGGAATGTGAGAGGTAAGAGAGAGAATAGGGGATGATTTGTACCTCTACACTGGGTCAATTATCGAAGGAGACGGACCCTAAAAAATGCCACGAGTGGGAAGATCCGGCCATCCAGTTTGCCAATTCCCTCAATTTCCAATAAATGCCTAAATATTTTCAAAAACATATGATCTTCCACCTCATATCAATTAAAGCAGTCATGCTCCAAGTGAGGGAACGTACCCAATTCATATGAGACATTTGGGGTAAATAAGCTCAAGTTAAGTGAGAGTGCAATGGAAGTAGAAGAGGCTGATGTTAGGTGAAGGAGATGCGAGAACTTACAGGCTCCTGACAAGTCATGCTAATGAAGCGCGGTTCAATGGAGCGGCTGGATGGCGGCAAGGGTCGAGCGTAGGTGATCTCGCGAATCTGCGCAGGCGCACGACATCGACATCGAAACTCGTTGAGGTAGAGCCATGTTCCTCTCTGCTGCAATTCAAACGCGATCTGATCGCCCTGACAACACGACCGAGTGAGTGGAGAGAAGAGGTTGCCGCAGGTGTGCAACTGGAACTCATAAAGAGGCATGTCTACAAGGTAACAGCAGAGGTTAGTTGCGATACAATGTAAAGCTACTAAATATGACCAACTCCACAGCTATTCTGGAACGGAATGATAGTTCGGACAACTCAGTTTTATTGTCTTAATAATTGCTTAAGGTATTATGTTACTTGACTGAGGTAAGGCTTCCATTTTCTTGAATCGTTTCTGATGGCGATTGATCGTGTATCCTTTCACACCAGATCCTAATAGCGTTTAGACATGTATCCAAGTGGCAAGAGTGTATGGATAAAAAGCGAATTGACTTGCCGTCAGTTCCAATCCACTTGAAAGTAACGGAGCGCGGGTCGTCGTAGTCAGCCCAGAAGGGACTGCAGGCATGGGGCGCCGGACCCCATCGAGAGGCGTTGTCGCCACCGCCGCTGGTGTCGTCGGGGGTGGCGCAGTGCAGACGGTCTTGCAGAAGAGCACGGGGCCGGGATTGTGGCATTAGAGCGCTATCAAAGATACCGCCACGCTCCAACCACGCACATACTCGTGTTCGATGGGTTCTAAGACGTCGTGTAAACCCGTCCATCAGTGGCCGTGATCTGGAGGTCACAGCCGCTTTCGTGGTGGTACTTCGGGGGTATGGAGTGATGAGACGGGGACTGAAGATACTGGCGGGCAAAGTGATTCTAGTGCAGGTCGTGTTCATAGGGTCGTTGGGGATGCACACCTACAATTCCATACTCCGTCGCTTAATACATTATCGGTCATTGTTATATAAACGCCACGAAATGTGATGTTCCTTAAATGGGATATGCTATTGTTTAAGTAGTGGCTCGGAGAACAATTAACCAATCAACTTAAAGAATATTTCAATGCTCCACAAGACTTAATTGGTCATTGATCGATGTGAAGATTAGAGGACCGAAATCAGGAATCTTCACTAAACAAGTAAGCTACGCACTGAGACCACAAATGCACGAAACACCTCTCCTCCCTCACCCCCAAAGTCCTAAGATCGGCAAACATTCAAGCCTCGCAGAAGAAGAGAGTAGTTAAATAGACGAGAATGTTTGAATCTTGAACACACCTTGATGGCAATGGCAAGGAAATCCCACACTCGCCTCAATGCCATTGAGTGAAGAGGGTAGACAGGGAGGTACATAGCAAGACATGCGACTACCTTCAAAAAATGTTATCGAAGCTATGATCACTACGTGAAGGTTCACAATTATTTCCTGTTCTGCTTCCCAGCGGCTTAAACTCATCCAGAATGGCTGTATCTCTACTGCTCACATGAAGGTGGGCAAATTATGCCAATAAACGGTGTCCGCCCCGCTTCTCAAGTAGGTGGTTGGAAACACTGGAGGACGAACAAGGCAAACATTTACAAATGAAGCACAAAATTTGTAGACTCTGACTTTCCACATGAAGTTCAAAAGGAGAGCACAATCTTAGACAAAAGGCGATAGACAATCACCTTGCCTTTTAAAACACTTAATTTACCACCATTTCAGGCTTGTGAGGGTTCTTTGAAATCACTAGTCACCTAGTAGTAAATGATAGAGCAAAGCGAACTACAAAATACAGAGGAAAACGTGTATCGTTCCATTTAGCCTTAATTGAGGCTGAATACCTTGAAGGAAGGGCGAGACTTATGCTTTAAATTGAAACCAAAGGACCACCACTTACTCTCCCCTCACACTTATGCAATGATGGAAATAATCAGTGCAGTTTAAAAGTAATTTTTTACGGTGCAGTGCTGTGTCGCGACCACTTCAGACTACACAAATGCACTTCCCTTGGTCGACATGACCTCCAAACAATGCCATTAGTCTCTCATTCCTTCCGTATTTCGGAGATGCGTAGTCTGCCCTGGTGTTTTAACTCTCTTCATCTTCATAAAGGGTTCGAGTGTCTACATCTGTGGATGCAACAAACGGCTATGGCCGTAAAGGGCAGCTGTCCAAATCTTCATTCTTGAATGTTAGGCTTAATGTGGCGGAAGGAGGGCGCACACTACAGATGGGGGATTTATATGATGGCTTCCAACAGAAGCTTTCAATGGGACGTCCACTTTCGTGTTCTGCGGGTATGGAAACAGCAAGTGAAGCGATATTGGTCACAAGGCAGCTAAAAAAGGTTTGTTAAAGAGCTGTTTATGAGAGGAGGTGCAGTCAACGCGAGAGGGCAATGTAATAATTAGAATTATATGTTTGCCTCTTTGCTTTGGTTTGGGGAGAGCACTTAGGGTTCTGCCTTTTCCACTTTGGTTGGGCGGCATGGTCTCGGAGTTATGGGAGTAGCCCTTTCATGTCCTTCTCCAAACACACGGTATTTACCCCTCTGTGCTATTAAGACAATGCCTCCAGCAAAAAGTACGAATCCTTCATCGTTGCACATCAAAATGCAACAAAAAACTGCACTCAGTGCGACCCTCCAAGGGCACAATTTGAAATCTGGTGTACGACTTTTCATTTATTTGAAGAGAGGCCTCGAACTTAGAAAACAATGGCATATTGAGATTGGGCAAAAAAGTACCTTGTTGCTTGTACGTATAAAAAGGGCATAAAATAGGATAACTTGTAAAAGTCTTGTCTCAAGACGTTGCATTAAAAGTTCGTTTGGAAAGAATGCAAACCACAATGGGACAGGTTTTGGGGCTCCTCATTCAATCAGTGAAGGCAAAACTTTAAGACTGCTTACCTCCAAGTAAATTTGCCTAACAGTCAAGCTCCTAGCCTGACAACCAAAAGTAGGTCGAGAAATTTTGGTGACCCTTTAGCGGCGGTTTCTGATGGTTTTTAGGCATCTGGATGAGGGTGCTGGGTTCGCTCACGCCCAAAACGTGGCATCAGGCCACCTCAATCATTCACGCATAAGGCAGACAGTTGTTGACCGGGTGGCTCTTCTGCTCTACACACTCTATAGCACAATCAATCTGCATTTTGGTTAAGAGAGGATGTTAAAGGTCTGAAATCCCTTCTATCGGTTCTCAAAGTACAGAAGAGACCTACTTTAGCTGGTCTGGGCGCAAGAACAGTTTTGTTTGAACAAATTACCCAAATCGGTGGGATGGATTGGAAATATTCAAGAGAGTCTCAGTGTCTACGTTTTCGTATTTGACCAAAGCAAGTAACAGGACGGTTCCTAGCAAACGCTGGGGTTAAAAAAACGTATTGCAATCAAACCTCTCCCAGTGAAAGCTATCAACCAAATGTATTAAAAATAAAGTCTAGTTTCGCCAAGTGATTGAAAGATGTTGGATGGAGAAATATCAGCAAAATTCAACTTGGAAGGCTTTGATGTTTATTGCTTATACCTATATTGAGCGGTTTATTTCTGCTGTAGCAGAGAATTAGACGTGCGACCCTCCTTTTTGTGGTTGAGGTTGCGTGCCTGACACGACAAACTCGAAGTCCATTTTTGCACAAGACACCCACTTTTGGAGTCGTGACACGACCTTGTTAATGTGGATTATGAAGAGTAAATGAAAAGAAAACAATGCACACGGAGAGCTGAGCTGTGTCAATAACAAGCATATCAGGACAAACCATACTACTATCGTAATTCAGCATCAGAAACGTTTGGAACACGGCAGAAAGGTGAAGTGAGAAGATGTTTGGATCGACTCTTCACCTCCAACACAAATGAGTAACAATGGGGGTTTTTGAATTTGCAAAAAAATGCTAATTTTAGCTGATAACGGAGGTAGGGGTAAGAAAATAGCCTCTGGCATCTTCTGAGACCGTAGCGCATGCAGTGTAGAAGGCTGCAAAACTTCAATGGTGGGGTTTCGGTTAACACACCATGGACGTAAAGCCCTTTTTTAAACTGTTTGTCCCTTCACTAAGGCGAGGAATGGCAGCAGATGCAGAATCATGCATTTCGCTTGACTAGTAGGTCCAAACACACTTAATACCAGTCTGGTGGGGAAGGCGATCTTCGAAAGGCGGAGAACAATTGAGGCTGAACGTTGGTTTGGATTCTGACAACCATTCGTGAACTACACATACCCTTTGTTCACAAGTTAAGAATTGTCCTCAAAAATGATGGAGAGACGATATTCACCAGTGTCCCGGCGCCAAAACAAATTCACTGAAAACATCAAGGTGAAAGGTAGTCCATCGAAGCCTGTGTTTATTTTGAACACACCAGCCCTGAAAGATTACTCATAAATTTCGTGACGTTGATTAACCTAATTAATGTTAGATCCTACAGGAGCTAAATCTATGTATTTGTGAAAGTAAGAAAGAAGTTTCTAAGACCGATCGAGTGGTGTGTTGTTTATTCTCAGTTTTGGCAGTGAGCCCTCTAAGAGACCCAATGCTGTATCTTCATCGAGTTAGCAGATCCTCGGGCCACCGGTACTCCGCAGTTGTCCTTCATTCATTTTAAAGCCAGTCGCGGAGTGCTACAACCAAGCAAGTCACTTGAAAGATGCACCCAAACTTCATCCCGCCGATATGCATCAAAAGAGGCTGAAAAATGCCTCCGTACGAGGGTACTTGGAAATCCTACAAGCGTAAGTCGCTGTTCCGTCTCTAGAGACAGGGGTCGGAAGTGGTACCCTTTGTTTCATCACTGAGTGGCAGAACAAATTGACACTTTCGAGTGCTTTCTCAAAGTTACACTATTTGCGACTTTTTGAAGCAAGCCTTTGTTTTCATTGCCTTGTAAAATGACAAATTGCTGTCCAGTGAATTGTCCGCCCACCCCCGCCCCGAGGCTTCGCTGACACCATCAACCCGCTGCATTATTGCAAACCTCAACTAATTGTGAAACCGGAAATCCTAAGGGCAAACAAAAGGAAAAACTGGTAGTCACTCATAAATCATTTGCGAAAATGCTTTTTCAGCAGCCCTAAAATTGAAAGAACTATTTGAAATGGATTCCAAACAAGAGTTTAGATAATCACAAAAATTGTTAAAAAAGCGACACCAAAGTGGGCACTTCAAAGTTCACGTAAGTTCACTGCCATGAAAGCATTTCAATTTCTTGGTGCATCCAGGTGAAGGATCCATTTATTGTCTTCCCGTCCGCAATTTGAAGCGGATTAGACGATCGAGTTTAAATTTTTATGAACACTTTACACCACTAATTTAAAAGTCCAGCCATCCCATCTGGTGCCTCATCTCCCAAATACTAGAAAATCATTCAACAAATCACCCTTAAGCTAGCTTAGCTAAATCGACCAAAAGTAAACTGCATGTCGGCTTGGTAAAATTTGATGTGATTACTGGCAGTGTTGCGGTGGAAAGTACAGCATCCGCACAATAGTGCTCCACTTTCGACGAGGATCTTGGTGACAAAAGTGCTCTTAGAGTAGTCTTCTAAGGCGTTGACAGCGACTGAGGAATAATGATCAAGTTGCTAACCCATGATTCGCCAAATGTGCTATCGTTAGCCGTTAGAGGATAGTAAAGAAGTGCTCCTCTAGGGGAGAAATGGAATGAGCAGACCACAATATGAGCGCTTTAAAATGTGGTCAGATGATGATGGCACACAAGGAAATGCCTGATCTGAGCTCACGTTTTAAATTCCACAATCGTGTCTCATTTTAAAAAAATCATGAATATTTAAATTCTTATACAATTCAAGGGAAGACGAATTCTGTACAACGCCTTTTCAAGTGAACCACACAAGCAATTTCCAAATGCCGACCTTGTAGGCAATCCATTACGAATGATGTCTTCAGTGTTTCTTCCA